GCAGAGAAACCTGAGGCTATTGCAGGGTTTGCTTCTTGGAGGGAAGGAGGTCTAAAAGAATTGAATCACGTCTTTCTGAAACTCTCTTCCATTCCAATCCAATGTTATCCCCACCAAAGCATGAAATTCTGAAGGTGATTAAGTTCATGGGAAAGAATTTGGATGAAATGGTGCTGGATAAAATTGTCTAGGAGACACCTTTTGAGAAAATGAAAGAAAATCCATGACAAACCGTTCTACAGTTCCCAATCCTACCCTGAACCAGTCCATTTCCCCCTTCATGGGAAAAAGGTTCATGAGGCCTCTTTATCAAATATTCAGCTTGTCAAGATAATGTTTGGTCTCATTAATTCTAAGACAATACAGCTCAACTGTTTATAATATCTATTTCTAACAAGTTTGGGGACTTGATCCTGTTGTAGATGAGAGCACTATAAACAACAAAGGAAATGTGATATTGTAGAGAAGTAAAGACAGAGAAACTATTGGTCCAGACTTCACTGGGAACCTTGGACCTAAGGATCTAGGGCCTCAACAGCTGGAGACTACAGCTCTTTGTTTTAAGGCGCAATCACTTACAAGCCCCAGTAAATATCCACATCTATCCCTGGCTTCCTCCATTGACCAGCTTCCTGTTGTAACTTTTTCCTACTGTCTACCTTCTGCTGCCATCAGTTCCTGCTCTTAACTTGGTCTTGATCTTGGCCCAAACCTGCACTATATCAAGATTCTCAACAATAACTACTGCTGATAACCACCTCCTTCTCTTAGTTCCAGTTCCCAGAAGAGGAATTCTAATTGGCTCAACTAATATTTCTGAAATGAAAAAAATCTTCACATTTTTATTTAAAAAGTAATACATTAACGGTTAAAGTTAAATCAAATCCCTGTTTAAAATATATCTACACCAGTTGGACACCGGTGGTTCACACCAGTAATCCTAGCTGCTTACGAGGCAGAGATCAGGAGGACCGTGGTTCAAGGCCAGCCTGAACAAATAGTTCATAGGACTTTATCTTGGAAAAAAAAAAAAACGCAAGACAAAACAGGGCTGGTACAGTGGCTCAAGTGATAGAGTGGCTGCCTAACAAGTGTGAGGCCCTGCGTTCAAACCCAGTAAAATCTCCACCAAAACTCTACTCCAAAGAAGTAACTGCCAACAGCATAGACTGTCCTCCCTTTCTGCTTCATAAACACGTGCTTTATGTTCACAACAGTGGAACTATGGGCTGTATATTGCTTTGTAATATCTTTTCTTCCTTTTTTTTTTTTTGCACGATTTATTTCTTTGCACTTTCCAATCTACAACAACATCCCACCTTCCTGAAACAAATTAAACAATTCTACCTCTTTTCAAATAATCAATGGTGAGGACTTGGCCTTTCTTCGGGCCCACACATGCCTACCTTTCTGTACCACTGTTTCTTTGTCTTTGCTCATACAAACATAGGATACACAAACACATAAACATGCACACATACATATATAGATATATATAACACAACGGAAACTTACTCCCTAAAACATAAAAGAGGGTTACATTATACACTTTTGTTTACCAGAATGTGAGCCACCCCTCCAGGGCAAGGCATGTGGATCCATGCATCTGACTGTTTTTACAGAGCCCATGTTATACCAAAGTGTGGATGCATCATGATTTATCCAAGTATTTCTTTTTTTTTTTCCAAGTATTTCTTTAATTATAGAAACTATAGTTGTTATTGTTTTCAATTTTTGTCTATGTGTATATAATGCTACAAAGAAAATTTTGTGCATAAGTTCTTATCTGCTGATGATGTTATAATTTCCCAGAAGAGGCACTGATGGGACAAATAGTATTTTCCTATGTAAAATTATTTTAATTACTGCTTGGTGAAAAACAGTTTATTATTCTAATTGTTTCCAATTTTTTCTATTGAGATAAATATACATTAAAAAAATGCACAGATCTGAAGTGTACAGTTCAACAAATGTTAATAAACATATGTAGCCATACACAACCAGAACCCCAATCAATATAGCAAACATTTTAGCACCCCAGAAAACTCCCTCTTGTGCACCCTTCTAGGCAATCTTTTCCTGCCCAGGCAATCACTGTTCTTATCTCTCACCACAGATCAGTTTTGCTTGTTCTTAGTTATCACATGCATGGGATCACCCAGTAGGTATTTTCTTATGCCTAGTGTCTTTGGTCAGTGTTATCATCTTAAAATTCTTCCATGTGGTTGTATGCACACAGATCATTTGTTTTTAACTCTGTGAGTATACAGTGTGTGAATGTACTGAAGATGGGACAAGGTCATAGCAGGTTATTAACGCCCTTGTGTCAGTTGTGCTCCCTACTTAGAAGTGTACACCCCTGTACAGAGTCCTCTAAGGCTGCTTCTCAGAGAAGAGAGCTGGATCTGTTGAAAGGGAGCTGGGTAAGGAAGGCTACTGACAAGTCAGTGGGGGTGTAGATATTCCACATACTACTTAGTGCCTCCAGGCCTGTCAATCACAGAGTGATGTTCCTGGGCCTGGTAAGATGGCTCACACCTATAATTCTAACTATTCAGTGGAGATCAGGAGGATTGCAGTTCTGGTCCAGGCTGGCCTGAGCATAAAGTGAAATAGAATATCTGCACAAGGCCCCGAGTTCAACCCCTAGTACGACAAAAAAAAAAAAGGAAAGAAAAAGGAAGGGATGGGAAGGGAGGGAAATGATGTTTCTGTGGGGGTTTTCATCTTCTAGGAACAGTGGGTAATTGGAAAAACTACTTCACTGTTGCCCAGAACCAGAGGTTTGATGAAATTTATAGGAGAAAGATGGAAGGAACCTCCATAAACTTCTGTGTGGAACTGTAAGACAAGAACACAGATGCTGTCTTCAGTCCTCAGGTTTAGCAGAAAGAATTTCTGCAAACACATTGCAAATGTATGTGATTGTGGTACACACTGTCTCTGTGATTAATGGTATGTCACAGCTTTGTAAAAAGGGGTCATGTCTAATACCTATTCTCTCCATTATCATTTGCAATATAAGAAATAAGACAGCTTGACAAACTAACTAAAATCTATGACTTGACACTTCAAGGATTTTTAATCTCCATTTTTCTAGAAAGTGTATACTAATGTACTAGTCTACGGTAAGATGATACCTTGAGTACAAGTACACTAATATTAAAGTATATTAATAACATGAAATTTATGATGTCTATTCTAGCTACTCAGGAAATGCTGACTTGATCCAGGTTCTGTCTGGTCACTATAGGAAGACATACTTTGAGGGCAACCCTGGCAGAGAATAAAAGGCAAGAGCACAGAGGAAGTATCAGAAGTCCAAACTCTAATTAAGGGATTCTGGTGCTGGTCATACAGGAACAGAAAGCATGAAGGGAGACTTTTGGGAACCCAATTTGTATCATGGCAGAAAACAGGATGCAGGACTGGTGTCCTGCAAGCTCAAGTGTGATGCTTGGCTTGGAGGCAACTAGGCCTTTGCATCTACTGCCATGCCTTCTGGGGAGAGACTCTTAATCAATCCTGGTGTCATTTTCACAATTCCCATATTTTCCCACTTGTAGCCCTATTGCTCTGTATGTACTTGGCAATTTACTAATATCCCCTCTAAATTGTAAGTTCCTTGAGTCCAGTTCATATCTTATTCACCATCTTATTCTCAGTGCATGATGCAGTGCCTTACAGGCAGCATGTGAACTAAAAACTTGTTGTACAAGTGAATGAAGGCATGGAATACAGAAAGACAGGCACATTTCAGGGCACAAATTCCCAAATTTGACCCTTTTCCTTTAGCCCCAAATAGTGCCATCCTGAAGCTGAGAGCAGTAGAAGTAGTTTGCCCTAGGACAGGAATCAGAGGGTCCATTACACTAGCTAGAATTCTGACTGCTTTTTATCACTGATACAGTTTGGACCTGGCATGTGTTAGGGTGAACAAAAGGAAGCCATGTTAGAACTGGACCCCCTCTCCCTTGAAGGTAACCTATTGAAAACTCTCCATCTGACCCTAAAGGAAAATAGATATCCACCTTTAGCCATTTACTAGAAACTCCCCACCTGGCCTAGAGAGAATGACCCACCCTTAAGTCATGAGGGTCAGAGGGCCATTGAGGATTATCCCACCCAGTGACCTTCCTAGGGCTTTTCCACCCACCTCATAAATTCCCCCAATCTGTAAACGGCTGGCGGCTCCAGCTTTCTTGCTGGTGACTACCCCCCCCTGCCCCCAATCCCCCCCCCCCGCCCCAGGAACACTTCTCCACGATAAATCCTGTGCTGGCGCCTATCCATTCTGCGCTTTCTTTCATTTCTAACAACATGTCCCCCAATAGTCCACGTGGTAAAGGCTTGGTCCCTACCATGGTGATATAGGGTGATGGTGGAGACTTTAGGAGGTGGGACTAGTGGGAGGTCACTAGGCCACTGGGCACATGTCCTTTGGGGAATAGGATCCCTCCTTCCTCTTCCTTCCTCTTCTCAGCCAAGAAGTAAGCAATTTTGCTCCACCACAATCATAATGTGCTGCCCCTCACCAGAAGTCTCAAAGCAATGTGTCCACAGATCATGAAGTAAAGAGCCAAAACTTAGCCAAAATAAAACTTTTCTCTTTATAGGATGGTTATCTCAGGTATTTGGGCTTTGGGGTTGTTTGTAGTACTAGAGTTTGACCTCAGGCCTCATGCTTGCTAGGATGGCACTCTACCACGTGAGCCGCACCCCCAGTACTCAGCTATTTGTTATGTGGTTAGAAAGCTGACTTAACACAATCACCTTGCACTGGCAATTTCTAAACAAGGTCAAAATAAGAAACTCATCCCTGAAAAAAGGGGGAAATAAAAATCCTTCTATTGACCTAACTTCTAAACAGTTCTTTAGCTGCTGCTGAGTTTAACCATCTATATGTACATTCAAACTAACACCTTTTTATTATGTAAAGCAGTTGTCTATCTCCCCACTCGGTTGTAAATTTGTGTTGTTTGGTTCTGTGTCTTATTCACCTTTTTATGAAAGATGATTTAAAGATTCTCCAGGCATGGGTTCCATCCCTCTAACTCCAATCCAGACAGAGGAAGGTACATCTGCTTTCTTTCAAGGCTGTCTCTCCAACCATGTAGCTTTGAATATCCCTGCATTTAACAGTAGATACAGGATTAAACAGTGGTAGCACAGTGATTATAAAGGCAAAAGTACAACCCTGAGTTTCTTTAGTTCTGTCCTTCTCTGTGACTACTTAAAGAGTTTTCATTTGTATTCAAAATTTAAAATAGCCAAATTGGAAAGAGTGAGTTGTAAGGCATGTTATATTAGTTTAGTAAGTGCAAAGTTGTGTTCATTTAGGAAATAGTATACTAGTTTTGAGTAACAGCATTAAAACTGAAGTTTTAATCTTTTCTAATTGTTAATCATTTGTTTTAAAACTCAAGAATGGATCAAGAAAATCAAATATTATAATAGCAATATGACTGAGGCAGGCTAAAGCAGGGAAAGCTTGGAACTCATAGAAAAAAAATTACATCTTAGATTAACCATGCTTTGGCTCAGGAACCACCCTCAACTGGCTGGGAACCACCCATGCCCCTCCCCAGTCATTGATTATTGGCTGGAATCACCTTGTTCTCCCCTTCCCATAGGTTTTCGTAGATTTTAAAAGCACCTGAAGAGCAGAAACACTCTCGGCTTCTGGCTTCCATGTGTGCCTTTGTATTTCTCTTCCCTAACTTTTAATAAACTCCCTTTATACCCACGTGTCCTGTCATGAATTCTTCCCAGTGGGATATCAAGAATTTGGAAGTTTTCTGATCACAGACTGCACCAGTGCTGTTAACATGACTAATTATCTTATTTGTACTTTTTATAGACATTTTGTTAGAACTCATTGTGATTTTTACTGGCATGAGTCTGTACACAAAATGGAATAAAAGTTTCACTGTCTACATTTCTTTACTAGCAATTATTTTAATTTGTTTTATGATCAATACTGAAACTGATTTTTTTATTCAGAAAACGTGGGTGGTAAAAACATTTCACTTCAGGGTCAGATATAGTCCCAACTCACAAACTGCACTCTGGCTGACTAACTGGCTGTTTGGTTGGTTGGTTTTATTAAAGAAAATATTATTTAATGACACTTGTTAGATCATCAAGATGGGGTGTTGCAGTAGGGGCTCAGTATGCACTGGATGGATGGATGAATGGATGAATGGGCAGGTGAGTGTATGGATTTATGGGTGGATGGATAAATGGTGAATTAGTAGGTAAATTAATGGGACAGGACACCAAAAGCTTATATGCATGAGAAACTGATGCATATATGGACAAACATTATCTGGTCACTGCCTTTGTCATAGGAGCAGCAGAGTAATTCTACAGACCTTGTGGTATCTTATACTCAGAAGGGTATCACAGCAAGCCCCCAGCTGGACTTTTAAGAGAACCCTGTAGAAGGTAGTGCTACAGACAGAGGGAAGGTAGGGCCAAGAAGCAACAATATTTGAGTCACTCAAATGATCTCACTGAAACTCACAAATAAGTCAGACTTGTCAGAATTAAGTCTTTGGATCTGGTGATATTTTGGTTTTGGGAGAAAAGAAAATCATGGCAAGAGAAGCAAAAAAGAAATGAATAGCATCAGTAATCTTAGCAATACTGTATTTTAGGATATTTGCTTGAGGCAAAATATACAAGACATCAGAGCATTCATACCATTTATTGTACATCAAAAAGAAACCAGAGTGTCTCCTTGGAAAAAAAGAATGCAAAACCCAGGACCAAGAACTTCCCTGTCTTCTAGACAGGCTCAGCAGAAGGTTCAGCAGACAGAAATAAAGAATGAGAAGTAGCAAGGTCATCTTGTGGGTCTGTAGCTGGGCTGAGGCTGGCAGAAGAAACTGAATGGCACCAACAGCAGAGGTACAGGTTTGAGTCCATTGCTCTTTGACCACTAGGGGGTATCTTTAGCTAGTTACCTTTCCCCACAGACTATCCATAACATCTAGAAGTTGCTACCTTACTTCCCACTGGATTGTTGTAGACATTAAATAAATTAATGTGTGTAAAGTTCCTTGCATATAATATTGGCTTAACTGATGTTGTTGTCTTAGGCATTTTATTCATCAGAGACACTCTAATGTTCTGAGAAATTTTAGGTGTAGAGCTGAGAGACCCGAGCTTGAAACAAGCTCGTACATTATAAGGGTTACTTTACATTTGGGAAGTTATTAACCCCATTTTAAGATAATAATGCTTTTTATATAAGCTCTAAATTTGGAATAATGTAAAAGAAAATAACCAAAGTTCCCATTGTATGTAATTGAAGGAGTTTATCAGTGTATTAGTTTTGTCTGTAGGTAATGGAAAATCTCGTGTTTTCTTTTGTTGCCTATTTTGAGATAGGGTCTCACTACAGAGCCCATGCTGCCCTTGATCTTGTAGTACTCTGCCTCAGCATCCTGCGTGCTGTTTCTTTGAGTTTATTAAACGATGTACCAAATTAAATAAATAGGTGGTAGCTCATTCCCAGTGGAGTGTAGATTAGAACAAAGACTGGCAGTCCTAACTTTTAGCACAACCTTCAATGGCCTTTTCGTAAATAGTTTTAATGAAGCAAGTCATGCTCATTCTTTTACATATTGTCTCTGGCTGCTTTTGCACTACAACAAAGATTAATGGCCCAGAAAGTCTAAAATATTTGCCTTCCAGCCCTTTACAGATACAGCTTAGCTTTCTAAAACAGAAAAGTATTACATTCCTAATGCTCAGACTGGGGAGAGAGAAAAGCAGAGTTTGAAGGCAGATGTTTCCAGGGTGACATCCCCAGAGAGATGCTTCAGCTGGAGACATGCAATTCCTTCAGTTCCTAGAACTTCATAACATCCTTGAAGGAGTTCCATGCTCATACCCACTATCCTTTACCTTCTCAGAGCTAATGCCCAATTCCCTATTCCCTTCTGTGCTGCTCAGATCATAAACACATTCTGTAATTTGCCTCACATGTGAATAAACCAATATACTTTATTCTAAAATAGAATTTTTAGTGACTACCAAAAGAAACTGGCACTGTTGATTATACTGCAGATTGGTTAGTTTTAGTTGGAACAAAAGGAATAATTTATGAACTTGGGCCAAGGATTCCTACTCTCATACTAAGAGTATGGACACAGGTACACATCTTATGCCAAATGCTTGAGCAATAATAACCCCAAGGTCCTACTGAGAAGTCTACTATAGTCCATATTCTTAGGCCATCTCTTGGCTATATCAACTTCTTAATCTAAAATCTAAGCTTAATTAACATTACATCTTGGGAGCCCTCTGCTGGCTATTTTTGTAGTCTCTATTCCTTAGAGACCTAGGAATACTGATACAAAATCTGGCTACAAAAACCAATTGGCTACTGTTACCAGGTTCCCAGAGGTCCTGTGAGGGCCATTCCACCAGATAGCAGACCATCAAAGGGAATTATATAGTGGCTGGGACTGAAAGCAACCTATACTGCATGACAATTACAAGTGTCATGTAGGAAAACAAGGTTGGAGCCCATCAGTGTTACCCATACCCCTGGCCCATACAGCTACACATCCCTTCCTCCATTTCTAGTTCTTTCATGGACCTTAGTGTTAAAACCAGAAAAGCCAGGCAGTTCTTGCCAACTTCTGTCACCAATAGGATCAGCTTGTATCTCACTGCTAAGATGATATTCAACCAAAGGAACACTCGGTTTCCTTTCACATGAGGCTCATAAATTAACGTACTTATTCTTTCAACAAATGTGTTTCAACACTCCTATTACGTAGCAGACCCTTCCCCAGGCACAGGGAGTACAATGATAACCAAGACTAAGTCTTTGGCTTCAGAAATCCTTCATTCTAGAGAGGGCTTTAGAAAGATGTTTTAAAAAATTAAACCAATAAATAGAACTCTATTTGTTTGGCTGGCTGAGTTTTTTGACCCAGTATCTTGCTATATATCCTAAACTGGCCTGGAACTTGCAATCCTCCTGGATGCATCTCATAAGTATAGGGATTACTGGCATGCATCACCACACCCAGTAAATAAATAAAAATTTTAAACATTGTATGCACATATGAATAAAATTTAAAAAAAAAAGAGTCACCTAGAGCCAGGTGTGGGAGGCTCATGCCTATAATCCTAAAAAAATAATAATAATAATTAAAAAGCAATAAATGTCATGGAGAAAATAAGGCAAGGTCCAGGGCTATAGAATTGCAAGGGTGAGGATAATTTTAATGAAGTTAATCAGAGAAAGTATCTACAAAGAGATGAACTTGAGAGACCAAAGCCAGCAAGGATACAAAGGATAAGAAATGAAGCTGAAGACCCCAAGAGAAGGAGTTTGAATTTTATTTTACATGTTTTGAGAAGCCTCAAAGGATGGAAACAGGAGAATGACATCATTTGAATGAGTTTTTTCCTTTCCACCATTTTCCCTTCCACCATTCTCTCAAACTAGATAAAACCCACATATACCCCACTCAGTAGTCTGCAGTACAGTCAGGTGCATGTGCTGGCAAACTTTTAATGTAAATATCTTAGTGTTTATAAAATTTGTACACTTTCTAATACATATTGTTTTTTTTTATAAGCCTCTACAAATGTGAAAAAGAAAGGAATCCAGGAAGACTCCTAGTTCACTGACCTTGGAAAAACAGGCCCAGATTTGGCCAAAACAGCATAGTTTGCCAATCCCTGGTTAAGACTATGGCTGTTGGAGTTGCTCAAGTGGCAGAGGGTCTGCCTAGCAAGCATGAGGCCCTGACTGAGTTCAAACCCCAGTACTGCCAAAAAAAAAAAAAAAGATGACAATGACTACAGTTCTAAGGCCTGAGAAAAGTCACTCAACTTCTCTGTGCCTCAGTTTACTGTTGAGAGATGATTCTCAATTGGTCTCTCTCATTAGTCTTTCAAGGATATTTTACAGAAAATAATATTGGAAAAGAATCTCCCTCTGGAGTAAAAAGTAGCTTTGCTTACCAACCATAAAATAATCACAATATCTCCCTCTGGGAAAAGAGCAGGTGTGCCTCTTGGAGATATACCCAAAAGAATGTGACACAGGTTACTCCAGAGGCACCTGCA